GTGTTTGGCCCCTAAGGGCAGCTCATAGAGAAACACCCAGAAAACTGCAGGTGGCAAAATTACTATGTCATTCCTCATCTTCTAGGAGAGACGTCCAGGATAAATGAGTGGCAGGAGCTGCCTGTAGCTTGTCATTTTGGCTACTTTCTGCAACTGCCTGGCCCCTACAGGGATGGCTGCAACCTGGGACTACAGATCCCTAGAATAATAACAACAGAGGATAGGAGGAGCAGCAAACGGTTGGTCAATATGGGTGATGCTTTCTTTTTCTCTCTCTTTTTTTTTTTTTTTTTTTTTGAGACGGAGTCTTGCTCTTGTTGCCCAGGCTGGAGTGCAATGGCGCGATCCTGGCTCACTGCAACCTCCGCCTCCCAGGTTCAGATTTTCCTGCCTCAGCCTCCCAAGTAGTTGGGATTGCAGGCACCTACCGCCACGCCCGGCTAATTTTAGTATTTTTCAATTTTGTATTTTTGTATTTAAATTTTATATTTTTAGTAGAGACAGAATTTCATCATGTTGGCCAGGCTGGTCTCGAACTCCTGACCTCACGTGATCTGCCTGCCTTGGTCTCCCAAAGTTCTGAGATCACAGGGGTGAGCCACTGTGCCCAGCATGGGTACTGCTTTCTAAGTGAGCCCAGCACACTAACAAAAAGGCATCCTTTGAGCAAGGCTGTCACACACAACACGCTTTCCCAGCAATGCAAGGGCTTCGGAGAGAAAACCTGAGCATGTTCAGTTCCTTCCATGATGAACAAGGAAGTTTTAATGACGATGACATTGCAATTTCATACCCTAGCATTACAGAGTGGAGGATTCAAAAGGACTGCAAACTTCACCTCTCTCCTGGCCTTGTGACCTTGGGCCAACTGCTTAAAACTCTCTCAGCCCGTTCCTTCATCTGTAAAATGAGTATAATAGTAGTACCTGCCTTACAGAGGATGATGGAGTTTAAATGACATAATAAAAGCAAATTGCTTTGTCCCATGCCTGGGACATTGTCAACACAATACGTGCCAATTGCTATTATGACCACTGTTCTCATCATTGTTACAAACCACTTTATCATGTAACTCAGCGCTCTAAGTACCAGTCCCCATGCTAGGGAATGTACATGCACTTCACGTTTTATCCTCACGGCGTCATTGCTGGGTGGAAAACAGACTGAAGAAGTGAAGTGATTTTCCCAGTGACGTAACAGCATCTAGTTAGTTGCTTTAAACCCAGAGTCACTTCCACCAGCTGGTAATGAATGATGACATTCATTCCTTCCATCCAGGTGGGACCCTTTCATTCTGAAGTAGCCTTTCTTTAGGAGATTTAAGACAGCCTGACCTCCATCCACTGGGATCATAGATAGACTGCAAGGAGACCCCAGGCTTGCAGCTTGGTGGACTAAAGATGGTCCATGGTGAAGGGCACCTAACCAAACCACCAGAGCACGGTGGCCCACCCAAATGCAACGCAGAATAAATACAGCAAGGATGGAGAGGTTAGTCCGCTGCTCTCTATTTCTCTGGAAGCAGGTTCATTTGAGTCAGGATCTCCCATGGTGAACAGAAGCATCTGATGTCTTTCATTCTAGCCCTGCTTGATGAGGCTTTGAACCCCAAGGGCTGGTGAACCTCAGAGACAGATTCCTCCGTCAGCAAAAGCTCCTGTCTCTCCCCTCCTTCCCTGTCCCCACTCGCCACTCCCAGACCAGGGGAGTAGGATAAGTCCCAAGAAGGTGGTAACCTTCTTGCAGCTCACTCAAGGTGGCTGTGCACCCTGAGGTTGTGAGGCTCAGCCACGCTACAACCAGATCTGCCTAACGCCATCCCCAAGCGTTACCATCATCAGGTAACAAGATGGCGTGTCACCACCCTTCAAAGCACAGGCCAGAGCCAGAGCAGACAGTGACAAACAGGCAGACAGACTGAGCTTGGCAGGGATGTAGCCCCGGGGGTCCCTTGCCTGGACCAACAGGAGGAAGGCGGCCACCAGGGCCCAAAGGCAGGGAGTTCTCTCCTGAAATTCATGGCGGTAGGGGAATGGGAACCATTACAAAGAAGGAGGAGCTGGTGCCTGGTAGCTGTGTTCTCCCAACCCCAAGCCCCACCCAGAGTCCCCAGAACCAGTATTCTGGAAGAGTCAAAGGTTTGCCTAGAAACATTCAGTGGGTAGACCTCAGAGTCGCTGAAAGGGACCTTCAGGAGTACATCCCTCTGGGGAAACTGAGACCCAGATAGAGAAAGGAACTTGCTGCATTGAAGTGATGGAATGCAGGCTAGGTTGGATCTGGATTCACAAGGGATCCCATGGACAAGCTCATGCCCCATTCTGAGCCTCAGTTTCTTGATCTGTAACATGGGAATTCTAGCACGTGCCTCACAGACTGGGGTGAGTCTTGCCTGAAACAGTGCAGCTGACACACCAGGCAGAGACAGAGGCCACACAGGGAACCGGGGGTGGCACTGAGATTCCAAAAGAGAGCATCTTGGTTCCCAAACTGCAACCTGCCCACCACACTGGGCTGCCTCTGTTTCTGTTACTTATTAGAATGAACAGACAGGGAAGTGGTCCCCAGGATCTCAGCTAACATTTGGGTTACACACTCATTCTTCCACTGAGACTCAAATGCTATCTTTCTTCTTTCTGGGAGATCAGAGAGCAACTTCTTTGCATGCCAGCACCAAGACTGTTCAAGGGGTAGTTGTGCTCCTGGTGCCTCTTAGTGCTGGGAGCGGCCTTTTAATTAAGGACTTTGCCCCTGTCCACAGGCAAGCAGCAGAAAAGCTTATCGTCTTTGGTGGAGACCAGGGCAGGAACGAAAAGTTAGAAGCCACAGTGAATCCTCAAAAACTCTTTGGTACAGACAGGGGCTCAAATGTTTGAGTCTGGTTTTTTTGTTTGTTTTTTCTTATTTGTTTGTTTGTTTTTGTTTTGTTTTGTTTTGTTTTTTCCAAGCAGGAGGGAGATGTTTTTACTTTGGCCGAAAACTCAAGTGCAGAGCAGTGGTCAAACCCCTGGAGGGGGCCACGCTGACATTCACTCATAGGATGGCGATGACCAAGGACAGATGGCTGCTACAGGCAGCCACCCAGAGTCATGCCAAGGTAAATGCCAAGCATTCTTAGGGCCATGGGGAAGTTGGCGGGGGGGGGGGGAGGTAAACTGCAAGGCATTTAGCCATAGAAGCTTAACCATCAGACCACAGGCTGTAAATGCTTCAAGAATAAATCACCATCATAAAAGCCACCATTTATTAGGCACCTGCTGTGTGCTGAGAACTGTGCAGAAGGCTTGGCATGCATGAACTTATCTAATCCTCGCCACCATGTACAAGCTGAGGAAACAGGTTCAGAGGCTTTGAACTCACTTTAGATCATCCACAATTGCTTAAAAGTAGAATAACTGGGTTTCAATCCCAGGAATCTGTTCCTGGCTCTGACATCTGCCTCATCTGGCTATCGCTACACACTGGACATGTCACTATCTCTCCTTTTCCTCATTCACGCTCATGCAGCCACTCTCATTGACTACCATGCAGGCCCACCCTCATGAAGGGTGCTCTTTCTGGCAGTGATTTCTCTGGACAAATTTAATAAATTGGCCTTCTGCTGTGGACCTGTGAGTAGTGGGTGCTATTTTAGTTTGCTAGATTTGGAGCCTGCCTAACCTGAGCAGTGAGACAAGGCAGTCTCTGGACCATCTCCTGACTGATGTCCACATGGATCATCAGTCCATACCTTCAGCTGATTCCCACCATGGATGTGCCACATATACCTGTGGGCTATAAACCAAGCTCGCCATTTGACCCCAGCCTAAGCATCTAGGTGGATGCTGGATATTACATGAGCCTTTTTTTCCAGGCATAGAATTAATAGATCTTGTCAAATTCCCAAAATGTAAGAAGCCTTAGGTAAAAGTAATGAACAGAACCCCACATTTAGAGAAAGCATTCTGCTGGGTATTTAAGGGGTCATGGTTATCAAATGATGTGTGATGTGTTAGAAAGAACTGAATTCAAATCCCAGCTCAAATCCTCAACAGCTGTGTGACTTTGAGCAAGTTCTTTGATGTCTCTGGGCCTCCATTTCCCCTTCTGTACAGTGGGAACAATCCATCTGCAGGAGGGATTGCTGCAACAACTAGATGAGGCCCTCCCTGTGAGTGATGAGCACGCATCAGTGCTCAGTGAACACGTCTTATCATTTCTCAGAGCAACAACACAACGTGCACAGCCTGTGGCTGAATGAAGGGCCAGGGGTTATTCCACATTCTCAGAGCCCTTCCTTCTCTTGAGCAACCAATCAATAAAAGTTGCCGTCTTGGCCGGAGGACTGGCTGGGCTTTATTCAGGGGGGTGCCCCTCTGACCACATCTGTGCCTGTTCAGCACATCGGGCCTCTGGGTAGAGAAGATTAAACACCTTCTGAAACCTCAGTTCTCCATCCTCAGAAAGTTTCATTTCCGCTTCAAGTAATAACCACTCTGTCTCCGACAGAAATTCGCAAGAACAGAAAGTAAACCATTCCAGGCCATGCTCAACCCCATTTGAACCCAAATACATCTTTGAGATGTAAAGGTTATATGTGTTGACCTGAATGGGGGAAAAAAGGCAAAACTTAATCATAGATGCCTTAGCCGTAGCAGCCAAGAAAAATCCTGTAATCAGGCAGCTGAGAGACGGCAGGGAGGAGGGAGAGAGAGGGCGGTGCCTCCCTGAATGCCTGCTTGCTTTCCTCTATCTTTCCTTCACACCTGAGACCAATGACAACAGCCAGTCAACCTCCCCAGCGTCAATTATGCTCCCCTCCAAAACCATCCAAATGGGCGTGAGTGGCATAGGCAGATGGTGGGGCCGTGGGCAGAGGATGGATGAAGCTCTATCAGTGAGTATTTCACAAGCGCCTCAGATAAAGAAAAGAGTTTGCACCTGGCGCAGAGGATAGCAGGTGCTGGGAAGAAGGAGGTGGCACAGCCAGCGTCCCCAGTGCAGCCCAGTGAGTGACTTACTTGCAGAGAAGTTGGCCTCGGTGTGAACAGGAGGGGTGGAAGGCAGAAAAGGCGCGTGTCCCACAAAGAAGGAGCGGAGGGAGCGCTCGGACAGCAGCGGGGAGCGCTGCTGGGAGGGGATGTTCTCGCAGCTGCCTACGCTGCTGTGGATCTTGAGGTTCAAGGGTTTGCTCTTCTTCTTGGCTCTGAAAGGGAGACAGAAAAAGAGGAAAAGGAAGTATATCCAAAGGCGCACAAAGTTACAGCCGTGAAGCCCAGCCTTGTGTTTCCAAAACCTACAGGGAGAAATCAGAAGAGCCCACAGGGTTTCAGGCAGAGACACAAGCGCTGGGCAAAAAGCGTTTGCCCTCTCGCCTCTAGGTCCCTCTAAGAAGCCCATTCTACACTGAGGCACAAGCAAACATTTCAGCCATTCTTTTTTGCCCAGCTCCCTAGAGAAGCTCTAGAGAGCCAGGGTTCAAGTTCAGCTTCCAACTCCGATCCCACAACTTTTGCCTAAACATCTCGACTCTTCAGAGCTCTAAGCCCCCAACCCGTGACCAAGCTGCCCATTGGCCATTTGACAGAAACAGCAAATCTCAGGCTGTCCTCGAGTGAGTCTAGATCTGTGTCAAGGTGGCATTCACCATCTATGCGTTTAATCCCCAAATCCACTGCCCTTCCTCCAGGTAACAATAATTAGTGCACTTCTGTAGATGTTAAGCCTGATGACTTTCAAGAGAGCTAAGTAGATTAAGCCTTCGGTAGGACCCCAGTGCCTCTTCTGGAAATGCTTCCCCTTGGTCAGGACTTCTGGTGCTGGGCTCCTTCTTCTCAGCCCACCCACAGCTCTGTCTGGTTCTTGGTCCATTGTCTACCAGGAGCCTCAGACAGTGCCCACCTTAGGAGTTCAGGAGGGAGGGTGCTCCCCCAAATCACAGGCTGGATCCTATGCCATGCCTCACAGGCAGCTGCAAGGGATCAGAAGAGTGTTATAGAGAAGGGACCCTGGGTGCCCTGCCCTTCACCGCTGTGCCTACCATAGCAGCGTTGCTGGAGGAGAGCAGGTGCAGCTTGTAGGAATTACACTATCCTGAGGCCAGACCCCCCAGATTCAAATACTGGTCTTGCCACCCCTGGGTGAGTCCATTAAACCTCTCAAGCTTCAGTTGTCTTGTCTACAAAAGAGTCCTTCTTTGGAGAATTGTGGAGAGGATTAAACAATGCAGGTAAGTGAATTAATATGAAGTATAAACATGAATTGTTACTATTATTATATTATGAAGCTCTGTCTGACAGTTCCTTCAGAAGAAAGGAAAAACCAAGTGGAAGCTTCTGGAAAGTTTGATTTCACTCTTGGGGACTCTTCAAGCCCCTGGAGATTGAATGATATTCTTTGTAGACTCCATGCCTAGCAAAATGAGTCACATAGAGCAGCAACTTAAATATTTGTTGAAGGATCTCTAAATGGTAAACGGAAGGACGGTAAAGAGTTCTCCCAGGGATCCCTCAGCTCACAGCCTTTGATCCATGGCCGGTTATGGATTCATTCAAGAGAAGAGAGAGGGGTGATGTCTGATCTCAATCCTACACACAGGCACTGGCCTCACCCCACCAGCGGGTAAGCATCTGCCTTCTGCCTACAACATGGTGCATTCATGGCTTTCCCTTATACAGAATTGTAAAGGTAAGGAAATATATACCCATCACCAAAATGGGTAATGGTATAATATCTAAACAATTAATTAACAGAAAAGTGTTATGAGTGCTAGTATCCATCAGAGTTAAGCTTATGACATAACTTGAAACTATCAAAAAGAAGTACAGTGTATACGGAAGGCTGAGACTAACTGTGTCCACAGCCTGGGCATTTCTTAGTATAGAGGTACCCTGTCCAATAACAGAGCTACTTGTCCACGTGAGCACTTGAATTGTGGCAAGGCTTGACTGAAATAGGCTTAGAATGAAAAAAAAAAAAAGGACAATACCTTACTAACAATATTTTTTGTATGCATCAAATGTTTGGATTAAATAAAATACATTGCTAAAATTAAAAAAAAAAAATTAAAAGAGGGCTGAGTACAGTGTCTCACCTCCATAATCCCAGCACTTTGGGAGGCCAAGGTGTGAGAATAGCCTGAGGCCAGGAGTTTGAGACCAGTCTAGGCAATATAGCAAGACCCTGTCTGTACAAAAAACTTAAAAATTAGCCAGGCGTGGAGGTAGATGCCTGTAGTCCCAGCTACTCAGGAGGCTGAGGTGGGAGGATCACTAGAGACCAGGAGTTTGAGGTTGTAGTGAGCTACGATTGTACCACTACACTCCAGCCTGGGTGATATAGTGAGACCATGTTTCTAAAATAATAATAATGATATTAATAAAATTTTAAAAATGATAACAAAAGTGAGGGCCTTAGCAATGATTCACAGTCTGATGCTGAAATAAATCAATAAATAAAACCCAGGGTATTTAAGATTCTTTTTTTACTTGCCAACAGTTTCTTAGGAGGTGAAATTACTCCATTTCCAACAGGACCTCTCACACTGAGAGAAAGACGGAAAGGAGACAGTAAAAACAAGGACTCCAGCCAGGTGCTGATTAAGCTTTGATCTGAAACTGAGAGAATACACCTCTGAAATTATAAGCATAAAACATAGACATTAAAGATTTTTCAGCTTTATCAAACAGGAGGCTTAATCATCACAATAATAGCAATAGCAGCTACTGTTACTGCTGCCTTAATGTGAATGCCAAACGTGTCCTAGGGACTGTATCAAGTGTTTTTCATGTATGACCTCACTTGCCGTAGTAACCTTAGGTAGGAGACGGTGTTATTACCCTCTCTCCACTGATGAGGACACCAAAGCAATGAGGAGAGAAGCGACATGGGGAAGGTGATGCCAGCCCTGAAACCAGGCAGTGTGGCACCAGGGTGCATCTCTCAGCTGCACCCACACCAGACCCTGAGTGTCAGTCCCAACCCCACATCATCATCCGCCCTGAGCCCAGCTGCCCTGAGAAGTTTGATTTGGGACATGCTCAGGTCAGAGGCACTGGAGTGGCCAACAGACTGAACCCCAAATCTTCAACTTTTGCTTCATCCACTTCTTTTCTTGGAACCCTTTCACCAGAACCACCCAGAAACCCCATGTAGATATTTCCCTTTGCCCCCCTCTCTCCAGCACTGAGCCCTTTTGCTCTAGTGTAACTAAAGAGAAAAATGCTGTAAAGAGGAAGGAGATGGGGCAGGGACCCTGGAGAGTCCCTGCTGAGCGGCCCCCACGGAATGGCGAAGCTGCTCCTTACAGAGTGTTTCTACTGTTTCTCTCCCTATGCATACTCCATGGTCCAGTTCAAATGTTACCATGTGTAAAGTGTCCTCTCCTACCCACAGAGTAGGGGTCTTATCATTCCCTCACCTCACTCGCTTAGTTCCTGCTTTTCCATCATATTCTGGGAAAGACCCCATTTCCTTAACGTGGTGCCCAGTATGTGCCCACATGCACACCTTGGTCTGGCCCTGGGGCCTTCTCACTCTTTATATATGTAGCCTCCACCACCTGGAATACCCTCTGTTGCTTTGCCTGGTAAATCCCTATTTGTCTTTTATGACTTGGCTCTGGTGTCCTCTCCTCCAGGAAGTCTTCCCTAATATCCTAATTCATTCCAGCATGGGTCGGGCGTTCTTCCTCCAGGAAGCCTTCCCTTATACTCCTTCTTCCTTCCTGGACTGGGTTGGATGCTCCTTCTCAGTTCTCTCTCTTGATTGATCACTAGATCAATCAATCGATCGATAGACAGACAGATTGATGGCTACATTTTCCTATTTTTCCAAAGTTGCTGGCTTCCAAGTAGACTGATTTTTGAGGGCAATGATTGTGCTGTTTATTTTCCTATCCTTGGCAACCAGCACAGAACCTGGCACATAGTAGGTGCTCATTAAATGCTTACCCAATGACTGTTCTGGGTAAAGACCTTGGCACGCATCACATTCCCTTCTAATTATTTGTCTTCCACATGACTGTAGGCTCCTTGAGGGCAGGAACCATGTGGTTTTCCCTGTTGGATCCTTCATCCCTTAGCTTCATGCTAGTTGAATGAAATGAAACTTTTCAGTGGGCTTGAAAACATTCTCCCCTTTCCAAGGAATGAGTTTAAGAGTGCTTGGTTGGAAGGTGCATCCAAAAGGAATCTCTCAGCTCCTCCCACCCACCTCCCCGAAACTCTCATCCTGCCTGCCCGGGAGTGGGGCACCCTCCTGTGGCCGGAGCACAGCCTCCTTGCAGATTTTCAGACTCCTGGATGGATAGTTCAGAAAAGTCTGTTGATTTAAGACTGGGGGCATCCCACACAAACAGCTTAAAAGCCCCACCGTGCGGGAGGCCTGCTGCTCGCTGGCTTGAAGGAGTTGAAGCATATCTGCCAAGTCTCCTTAGTGCCTGGGACACCAGCCCTGTTTCTCTCCCCAGGGGCCCATGGCAAGGACCAGAAAGGAGCTTCCAGTTACGGCAGCAAACATCGGCAGACTCTTTCCTACCCATGGTCAGAGAAGAAAGGAAAGCAAAGAGGGGGTGGCATTTCATTCCACACAAATGCTCAATGTTGAAGACTCAAAGAAGCATCCATACTGAGGCAGTGTAATTCAGTGGTTAAAGTCATAGGCTTTGGGGTCATAGAGATGGGGACTTAAGTCCTGACTGTGACCTTGAGAAAGTGATCTCAGTTTCCTCATCTAGACAATGGGGAGAATACTAACACCAATCTCAGAAGGTTATTGTGAGAATTCTACGAGATAACAAGCTTGGCACAGGACCCAGTACAGAGTGAGAGTTGAGGTGATGTCACCTGCTATTAAAGTCACTATAACCAAGTCAAATCAGATATCTGTACAGCTGTAGAAATAGACTTGAAGAAGCCAAAATTGAATCCAAGATGCAATTTTCACCTGAAATATCCAACACAGTTTCCATCTACCATGGCCCTTAGTGAGTGAAGAGGACACATCAAAACCCTCTGGTGATAGATAACCACCATCATCTCCGAAACTCCGACAGGAACCTTGAGGCACTGAGCCAAGTGACGAGGCCAGATCCTCTGGCAAGAAGAACTGAGTATGACCCAGCAAGAGTTTAAGAGGAGCTCAATGACCTCACTCAGAGTCAATCTGTTTTAACAACCATGGTCACAGATGGAGTACAGAAGGGGC